CTAACTAATCCCAACAATACCCTCACAGACCTTGATGGATTCATCCAACCCTTGAATTGGAAACACTCTAATTAATTAAACAACTCATTTAAATCTGATTCCAATTCTATATCAAGGCAAAATCACAACACCAGTCGTCTTGGAGGACTTCACTATTTTGTCGATTCTCAAACAACAGAACAGAGAATAAAGCAGTACAGTGTTCATGGTTTTACACCGATCCAGACCAGAGTGGAGAGGATGCACGGTCCTTCAAGCAGATCAAGCATAAATCCACTAGAGGAATGATATTTATTTTTTTAAATGCTAATAAAGCATTCAGAATTTCACTATGAACCAGAAAATGGTCGGAACCAAGCAGATTCCAAGCAAACACCAACCAGAGGGTAGGATGCAGCTCATCACCACCTGTCCAGCTTGCTCCACTCAACACTACACCACCTCTGCTGCTGTGCCCTAAAGTGCAGTTGCATTTTATCACCATTGTTAGCCACTTTTAGAATTCAATATGTATTTGTTTGTACAGGTCTATCCATCAATCTTTACAAAATGGTTGTGGTGCCTTTTGGATATGTGACCTTTTTTCTCTATTACATTTCCTCCATAAGACCACCTACCTCTTTTCCCCCAAAAAAATCTCCCCAATTGTCCCAAACACTGGAAAGCCACTGGCCGGGCAAAATGTTATCGAGTTATTGGCTGTCGGCCTATGGGGGCACATTTGGCACCTGTGTCATGAGAGCAGTGTTTAGACCACCACTGGGAAGTTATCATGGCCCTGCCAAGGTTGGGCCGAAAACGCAGTGGGGACGAGCGAGCATCCAGGACTCGCAAAATATATGCGGAAAAAAAGGTTCGGACAAGTTTCACCGTTGTGTGTAAGTGATGTCTATTTGCTGTCATTACATTCTACTGCCCCCTGCTGTGGTGCAAAGGCTGTGTCGCCCCAGAGGTCACCGTGGTGGGGGGGGGGGGCTTACTCTGCCAGAGATGAGACATGTCTATCCAATGTCAAACAGTAAGACGATAAATCTTATAATGCAATATTGCCCGAAAAAAAATGAATCAAAATAAACCGTATCAAATCGATTCCCAAAATCACGATATTAGTCTTTTAGGACTCTCCGAAATTGTTGGCTACAGCACAACATGTAGCCGCCCAGCAATTAAAACTGTTTGACATTTGATTCTAAAAAGTCAACAGAAGCTCACAAGAAATAATAAAATGGATACGTCCTAGGGCAGGGGTCTCCAACCTGTGGCTACGAAGCTACCAGTAGCTCTCCAGCTCCTTTTAGGTAGCTGCCCAAAGCATTTAGAATTTAACAAATGATCCTGATTTAATACATTTTGAGTCATTAGATATCTATTATAATTATGATTATAGGGTTTTACAGAATTATGGTGTATTTATGTATGCGCTCTATGTTTTATCATAATTATTACATAGATATTGTATTACCACTGCAAAAAGGAATAGCTCTCTGCCTCTTCTGTTGCATAAAAGTAGCTATCCGATTGAAAAAGGTTGGAGACCTCTGTCCTAGGGCATCTCCTGTCTATAGTCGCTTTAGAGGTGGCAGCTTTCAATCCCATATAGAAAGTTTTAAAGTTTTTGCTTGTATTTGGCAGAAGTGGTTGCCCAATCAAGGACATACACAGTACATTTGTTTTCTAAAATTGGGCAAACCAACAGAATTGGAAGAGGATATAGTACCTGAAATGGATCAATGAGGAGTATGCAGGGATAAAACCAAGATCTAACCATTGCATGACTGAATGACAAGGCAAGTTTATTTGTGTAGCACAGTTAAATTACAAGGCAACTGAAAGTGCTTAGCAAGAGAAGAAAATAAAGATTAAAATCACAAAAGGCATTGAAATAAAAAATGATCACAGTATATTACAGAGAGTGAAGTACAATCCTTCAGTTGTATGCACAGCTAAACAGGACTATAGTTTTAACCTGGATTTGGCTGTCCCAGATTCTAGCAGCACAAATCTGAAATGCTTACTCTCCATGTTTAGTCCCAACTCTGAGCACCAGCAGGAGTCCAAGCAAGAGGCCAGTCCCTGTAGTCCTCAGAGTCCAGGTCGGTTCATATCTCACAACATGTCACAGATGTACTTGGGTGCGAGGCCACGGAGAGACTCTTGCTAAACCCTCTAAATGTACTGTATTTATTTTTAAACAATACATTTATGTTTATTTTGTTACATGGTAAGACTGAGCTAACACTGATCAATAACATCACAATCACTGACTTTTAGTTAAAAACTGCAAAACAGATCAGCACCATCTACTCATAGCTGGCTTTCTCATAGCCAGCTGCAGATGACACTTAACGTTTTGGATGATGTTGAAAGTAAAAACTAAACCTGACAACAACAACACGGTGGGATCGGATGTGGGCCTCTCCAAGGTTTCTCACTTTTCCTCACTGGGTTTTTGAATTGTACTTTTCAGTTACAGGAGGGTCTAAGGACAGTGATGATTCAGGACATTTAAGGACATTGAAGGACATTGTTCATTCGCCCCTTTTGAACCAATGGCTTTATGTGTCTATTATTATTGCATTTCCGATGTTTGAGCCGTTTGATTCTCTGATCTGTGTTGGGGAATTGTGCAAACACGTGTAAAGTTTTTGAAATAAATATTTAATTCATTCATTCATTCAAAGTCCTCCTAAACGACTGATAGGGCTGTATGGGCCCCAAAATCAGCACTCTTTTCTCAGGCCTGGCACCGAATCCCGGTCGGAACAGGGCCTTTCTGAGTGGAGTTTGCATGTTCTCCATGTGTCTGCTTAGGTTTCCTCCACCACTAAAAGCATGTACAATAGGTATGAATAGAATGAGTGAGGGAATAGATGGTGTTTGGTCAGAGGCTTTGATGAAACAATGAAACACTTTGGGTGACCTTGGTCTGTATAAATGCGCTATATAAATAAAGATTACTTACTTACTTACCATACAAAGGTATATTGAATTCAACAAGTTTTAAAAAAGGGTGGATATAGTTGGTAGGTGAAACATACATTCTCAGAGCACTTCAGGGAAATGCCACAGGTTTACAGTGAAACTTCATGCAAGTAAATGAAAAAATACATAAAAAAAAGTTTAAAAGCTCATTTAGTAAATTGTAAAAACCTAATCTAATACTACAAAGAAAACACAAAATCAAGAATCTTATGGGGCCTTTGTGTCTTGCTCTTGTGGGGGGAGGGCTGCAGGTGTTTTGGGCCAACTCAGAGTCCCCCCCATCAGGGACCGAGCCGGACTCCGAGGAAATGGACAGTCTGTCAGATGCTTTTCATGTGTGAAATGTGGTGCCGTGAAGTTGGCATTTCAAAAACAGGCTTGTGCTGAGTGACAAGATTCACAACTATCTGAAAAGTGTCATGTGGTGACAATATGACAGAGGCGGGCAGCGGGCCAAGACCATGCAAGATTACAATATTAAGATTTGGTTTTGACTGGTAAAAATCAAATCAAGAAAACATGTCCAAAATGGGATTGACAATTTTGATCAGAGCAGAACAGGGAAAAAGAAAACAGGCCGCAAAAACCTAATGGTATGATTTTGTGATACTTGTAAGTTTGTTTTGAGAAGCTGGGTCCAGTCAAGCCAATGAAAGTGAATTACAATTATTTAAAGCTGGGGTACTTTCATTTCTTTCTCACAAAATTATACATTTTGTTTGCCCCAACAGAGTCTTGTAAAAGTTCTAGTTTGTGAACCACATTCCGTCTTCATCTTTACTGTATAAGACAGCATCTTTCTCCATGTGAGTCACTATTTATCACTTTGGGCTGAAAACCTGAGTGAGTGGTCTTCTTATTTAAACTTTCTGTCTGAAAAGGCTTTTTTTAAGTTGTGACAGAGGCCAAACGTAAAAAAATTAGTGATAGAACCAAACTATTTTTAGAGATTTTATGACAAATTTTTATGGGTTAAAAACAAGGTACCTTAGATTTAACTGCAGACACTTGATGTAATATTGAGAGGAAATATCAGAATCCTGTAGTGGAAGCCAGATCCTGTCAGACCTCTGAAGCCAAGCAGGGCTTAGAATGAGTCTGGTGTGAGTGAATGATTGATGGTGGTTGTCGGTGCACAAAGTAAGTAAGTAAGTAAGTAGTACTTCTGTCAGTGTGCCCCAGGACAGCTGTGGCTACAGTAGAAGATTATTCATTCATGAAATGTCAAGTGTCAAATAGCTCCATATAAAACCCATACATTATTCCTTAAATAGGTGGAATGTCAAGATTTCCTACATATTGCACTTAATAAAACTGCATAACACGATCTGAACCAGGACTCTCAGAATCAGAATCTTTTATTGCCATGTGAGTAACAGGTCGTCACAAACTAGAAGGCATTCATAAATATAAATCTACATCTCTGGTATTACCACGATATAAACAGCCTTAAATAAGATATAAATTATTGCTCCTTCTGGCATAGCATTGTGCATTTAAGGCTTAAAATATATACAACTTTACATTTGATGTAATAATGAAGAATATTTCCAACTGAAACTGTTTCTGCAGTATAGTGTTCATTGTTTTGCACTGGTCCAGACTGAAGCAGAGAGGAGTCATGGTCGGACACAAGCGGTTCAGGCAAAAATCCACTGGCGGAAGGCTAACTTTTTGAAAAATGCAAAGCATTTAGCATTTTACTTTAGATCAGAGCAGAGAAAATGGTCCGAACTGCTTTGACTCGTCCTGCTCCACCCAAAGGCTCCACCATCTCTTCTGCTGTGGCCTGTCCTGCTCCACCCCCAGCGGATGGCCCACCTCTGCTGCTTAATATAAACTGCTACTGGACGCCTGAATTTCTGAAAGTATCTATCTATTCATTTCCAATAAAGATAAAATGAAATAAAGGTTCAAATCTTTTATTTATCCTTTATCAAGAGAATAAGAAAATCATACTATACAATCATCTAAAACATATCTATAAGAAGCAGTAGTAGAAATGGAGTGATTTCATATTAGGCCACGGTTTTCTTAGGTCTGCCTCTTTTGGCGAGTCCTGGTGTAGTCTGTGTTGCCATCTCTGTGAATTTTGGAGTAGCTTTCTTTGCTTTAGGGCTTTTGGCAGACCTTTTCACACCGTTGACCTCTGCAGGAGAGAGATGTTAACACTTTGACAGGACATTATATAAGATTACATAAGACACAGGAGAGAATGTACCTTTTTTTTTGACAACCCTCTTTTTCTTCACAGGACTCTCCTCATCGTCTAAGCTGTCCTCGTAATTAACAGGCTTTTGTTTTCGTTTTGTTGATTTCTGAAATGAGAAAACAGGTTAGGCTAAATAATTTAGATTATACTATATAACTTTATATTGTCCTCTGTATTCAAACCACCCCGCCTCTGTGAGGAGCAGTGGTCGCTATAGTACAGTACCAGATGCATGATGCTCAGCTTGGTCAGAACCAGAGCTGGACCTATTCATGTTTTTAGTGGGGAGGATTATACCACCCGGGGTGAACATGTAAACTCCAGTCAGAAAGGCCCTGGGAATCGAACCCATGACCTTCTTGCTAAGAAGTGCATGTGCTACCCACTCAGCCACCAAAAAACATGCAAAGTCGGGTACCATTTTCCTGGTACCCGACTTTGCATGTTTTTTGCCGGAGACAGACTCAAACAATCTGCATGACAAGTTCGTAATGTGGTATGGATAAATTAGTACCACCACCAGAGAAACTATATGAATAAATAGTATCAAACAATTACATTCATAGATTCATAGACATTGATGAGAAGGACAAAGAATCTGCACAAATTGAAAAATAATAATTGATTTTTAAGATATTGTGATGCTAATGTTCAAAGTATAAAAAAAAAAAAAATTCCATTTGTTGAAATTACATGACAAACAAGTTCTCACTTAAAATACCACCTTACTTTAACTGTGATTAGACAGGACTAGAAGAACACATAAAACAGTCAAAATGCACTGCATTTCAGAAAAAAAAAATCACTACCTTCTGGACGCTAAAATCGGCAGTGATTCCTATTCCTGAAAAGGCCGTTTCAGAATACTAACAAATTTCATAACAGTCTTAGCATTGCGACTTGTGTTTTTGATTCGACTGCGATTAATCCTTCAGACCTACAGGGGATCCAAGCCTGAGGAAAGATTACAGCAGGTGTGTACAGGAATGCTGATGAATGATTTTAGGGGCAGGTGATCTGATGAGGAGGGAGGAGCCAGACAGACTTCCAGGCTGAATTGGTCTTGGCTCAATGACTTAAAGCAGACAGTTGAAGGTGAGTAACTTATTTGTGTGAACTGCTTTTTCTACACATGAATAGGCATAACACGATCTTTTGCATACTTCTAAGAAAGAACCTTGTGAGTCACTATTCGACTTTGGGCTGGTCCACTTTTCCATCTGAAAAAGCTGGACATGGATCTTATTACATAGTCAATTTTTTCATCTCTTGAAAGTGTTCCAGCTTTAAACACAAGCATGAACAAGGGGCCACATTTCCCTTTAACAAAGCCAGTCACCTCCTTCCTCCTTTTCAGGCCTTGAAAGCTCACCTCTTCCCCTGCCCTCCCCCTGATTCCATTTTGGTCTCCATTTTGACAATTGCTACCTCATGATCACTATGCAGCGCCCGCTGAGGTGAACAGATTGGCGGGATAATTGCGTACAATAACCAGCGCCGGGGCCTGGTAACCCCTCGGCTGGCAACGACCATGTCCCCGGTGGAATCTTCCATATGCACAGAGTGGGAGCGCGGGAGAGGGGGACTCGGAACAGACGAGACGCACGCATAAAGTCGGAATTAAGGGTGATCACGCTGGAAGAGCAATAAAAAGCTTGGAAACATTTTACGGGCAGGATTTCAGAGTAGATAAAACAGAGACACTAAAAGTTTGCTCTTTTTTTTGTTTTGGGAATGTTGTTTTGCTTCTAAACTGAGAACAGAAGTCATATTTTGCCCCTTTTTAAAATTTTCTGATTTAAATAGCCACAGGTTTGGACTGGAATAACAGATTTCATGTCAAAATCCGTTCACCATATAATACATAAGTAACATGTTTCAACCACGTTGTAGATCCAAATTCAAGGCAACTAAAACTAACTTAATTGTGAAGTTGCAATTACTTAAATCTGGGGTACCGAACTTTAAAAACCAAAAAAATATTTGAATGCATCTTAGTTCCTTGCGCCCCCTCGGAAAGAAAAGTTAAAGAGGACCACCCTTGTTACAGCCCAAAGACTCAGATAAAGACACACAGAGCTCTTTGTGACGAGTATGCAAATCTAAAATGTTTTCTACAGGGATTTTTCTGTTGGGACAAACATGTAATAGTAAAGAAGAAAGCAGTGAATTATCCCAGCTTTAATTGTAAAGTGTAAGTTAGGCAGAGTCTCTGACGATGTTACTCTTTTCCCAAACTCTGAAACTAAAAGCAAATAGAATATGTGCACACAAAGCAAATAGCCCTTCAAAGTGATAAGTTCCAATAGTAGCGGTATAATTAGATAATTGTGACTTTCAAAAGGCAAGGCATCATTCAGGCAATACTTTAGTTCAACAAAACAGTTTACATGCTTAAAGGTGTTTAAATTCTGCCCTCTCAAACTGTGGGTTAAGATCGAGGCTCAAGCACAGTTCAACTATTCAGCAAATTTTTCTCTTTCAGAAACCTGCCAGTGTACTTTCAGAAAGTGACGTCCAGAAGCAGTACGAGGATTATGGGTCCTGGGTTCATTACAGGACAGCATACTGACCTTGACAGATGACGTCCCGTCCACAGCCTCAAACTCCAGTTTCCCGTTGTCTTTGGCCGCCAGAGCCTTGAGTCCGGCCTGGAGGATGGAGCGTAGTTCCTCGTAGCGCGGCTCGTCCTGGTAATCCAGCGTCTTCACCTCCTCCATGAACCTCTGCAGCTCGTCTGGGGCACAAACCACAACGAGACAAACTGATGAGATGGAGAAATCCTGTTCTGAAGGCCTGGAAATGTGTCATTGTCTGCACCAGAAAATGATAAAGTTGTACAACAGTCCTGTCCACTAACATGTTCCTAATATGGACTTGCAGACTATGATGATGTGTGGTTTGGAGCGCTTAAAACAACTATGCCAAAACTGAGTTGGATAAATATGCCAGCTCCACTCCACCAAGCCCAACTGTGGAAATGTCCACCAATCCAGCACATTCGAGACAGTCAAATACATAATCACAGTCACAATATCCCTTGGAAAATGTCTATGAAGGAAAATGTTCACAATTATAGTGATATCTTTTGTGTATTATGTTTTAGTGTGATTCTAAGAATGGAACATAAACCAACGTTATAAAAGATCCTGCTCTGTACTCCAGCCTCCATTTTTGTACTTGCTGCAATACACCCACAAAACTAAACAAGTTGTCCGTGACCTGTCATGATCTGAGGTCAATATTGTTATTTACCCTATGTGCTACCCTAGGATCAAAATGACCCTCCAGACGCTTAAAAGTAGCCCTTAAGTTAGGGTCTAAATGATCCAGGAATGGTCAAGGTAGGAAAACATTCAGCTCAAAATCATAGCACAAGGATAAAGATAAGATAAAAAAGCATAGCTTCATAATTAGTTCACAAGCATGATTGTCAGGCCTGTTACATCAGCTCCAAGTATGTAAAAGATGAAATATATTGACTTTTAACCAAGAAAGTCCCATTGAAGTTTCAGAATCTCCTTCAGGGGAGTCCTGGCCCCAGAGAGGGGGTGGGAATGTTTTCTAATGAGAAATCAGGAAGTAACTTCACAACTATTCTAGGATAAACAATAGGTACTCCTACTTAACCCTAAATTGAACATGATTGCTCAAATGTATTGTTTTGAGAGATAGTGCCACAACCTATTTTCAGTCTACTAATGTGCACGTTACATTTGTAAAAACAAGTCCCAGCTTCATGAGGCTGTTTTGTAGCCTGTCCATGTGCGAGCACTAAAAAAGCTCCAAATATATCCGACTCGACTTGAGCATGGATCTCTACTCGTACTCTACCTCCTTTCCACACTTCCATCGTCACCATAATGTTCTGACTCCGGTTGCCGTGGTTTCTGTGTTTAGTGTGACTTTCCGCAGCCGTAGACGCACACACAGATGGAGTTGTAAACAACAGTTTGGTGGCAGTGCGCAGCAGGGCGGAAAAGGGGAGGTGTGACGGCGTGTTCGCTCGTACTCCTGACTGAACCGACACCGCCGCAGGTCAAAGTGCCGACGTTAAAAAGGCAACAGTGAAACATCGCAACCACTTACAGCCCAAATGGAGACTAGGAAGAGCACGCAATGAACTCAAACTTATAGGCGAGGAGAAGGAGTGTGCATTCCTTACATAGTATATCATGATTTGAAAAAGTATACACTCTTTTATGGAACAGAACTAAATGTTACTAAAAGTCAAGTAAGAAGTTGAAAGGAAATACTGAAATCAAACCCAGGACTAGAAGCGAGCATGCTAACCACTCAGCCACCAAGTGAATAATAGCAGACATTCAGATTACTTCCAAACTTTGGAAGAGTTGCGGGCAGGTTCACAACAATTGTGAGTTTATAAACGTAGCTAAAAAAAGCCTTTAGGAGTTTCCTCTGTGATCTACAAACAGGTTATATTATCACTTCAACCAGTAGGAGCAGAAACTACAACCTGTAGCTTTAAGCCACATCAAGAATACAACAATCTATTTAAGTGAAATGTGTAACCTACTCTGTCATGCATCATTTGTCCTGGAGGGGGATTTACCCGATGGAACTGTTCTGAGCATTGACCCCAGACCCACACATAAACAATTCAAAGAGGTCCGCAATGTAAGCAGCAGTTTCTCTCACCTGGTTTGTCTTGAGAAGGAAAGCACTCTTTCATAAATTCTGCAATATTGTCTTGACATCTAAAAAAACACAAATAAAAAGATTTTAAAAACTTCACAAAAGATTTAGTTACCGGTAAGCTTCAGGTTTGGTACAGTTAAATTGAAGACCATTTGGGCATAATTTACTGCAATAATAAAAAACTTTCCTGTGTTTTTAAAAAGATAATTACTTTGGAACCAATTAACTTTTTCAAAGTCCATGTAATTCCAAACTATTCAGTTCTTATATAATTCATCATTTTAATATTAATTTTAAATACATACAGTGAGTAATGTTTCTTCTCGACAGTAAATAATCACCAGAAGGTTTAGACCAGGGGTGTCAAACCGGTTCCAGAAAGGGCCAGTGTGGCTACAGGTTTTAGTTCCCACCTGAGCAGGAGCACGCCAGACTCCAACCTTTTCCTCAAATCTTCAGGTTAAAACTGGACTCCACTGAGGAAAAGGGTGGAATCTGGTGTACTATCTTTGATGATATGCTCAAATTCTCCAGTAACACTGAGGAGCTCCTGAAAAAATGCCATCAGAGGCAATATCTTTTAAGAAAATTAAGGGCATTTGATGTCAATCCAAGCATGCCTTTATTGAGAGTGTTCTTTCTTTTTCATGTGTTTGCTGGTTTTACTCGGTCACTGTACAAAACAGGGCTCAGTTAAACAGTTACAAATGTCTGCTCTAAGATCATTGGCCAGCCAGTCAGATCCCTTCCTGCCCGGTGTGATCAGCAGGCCATGAGAGTGGCCTATAGGATTCTGGGAGACCCTGCTCATGTTCTCTTCCCTGTGTTTGAGTGGCTGCCTTCAGGGAGGAGGCTGCGCTCGGTGGGATGTAGGACGCAGAGGAGGAAATCCACTTTTGTTCCTACAGTGACTCAGCTGCTGAACTCGGACCCATCATTCCCCAGCGCAGTTTTAAAACGCTCCTAACATTGTATTGTGTAATTGTATGTATGTGTTTTTATTGAGATTTTTGGCATGTAACTTGCAACTCTCCGTACTCTTTTTAATTGCCCCTCGGGGATAAATAAAGTGACTGATTGATTGATGGATTGCCCCTACTTGGGTTGGAACCAAAACTTGCAGCCACCCCAGCAACCTAATAGAAATTATTAAACTGACATGTTACAAACTATTTAATGAGGCTGCATAAAATCTCTTCTGATAACTGTATCACTCGGAGGCCGCCCCAACTATCAACTGCACCTGAGTTTGGAGTCTCGGACGTAGAGGGGGTCTTGTAACTTGTCTTCCCAGGGCAGACGACCACACAGCCACTGCACCAAACAGTAACCGAGGATCTCCAGGTCTGCTCTCCGGCTGGGCACTGGAACATGCACGTGCACCGTTAGACCAACAATCCACCCATAACAAACATTACTTAGAGGCATCCCTCAAATTCACCGCTGTGACATTTTCATGGCATTTATCTTTTAATAATGATATTTAATATGATATTTTGGCTGAATGGCAAAACAGTGTGTCACAGCAGATGCTTTTATTTTTCCATTTCAAGTTTAATGAATTAATGTCGGGAGTTATTTTGCGGCAATAAAAGAAAATGTCTTTGTGTAGACAGTCATCTTGTGTGACATCCTTCGTTTGAATTTATGCTCAAATTTTGCTCTAACCCTTGGGATGACACATCACCAGCCGGATATTCCAAGTGAAAATGTGTTTATCATCGTCAAAGTTAGGGTGGTCGAAATGCAGCCACAGGATTGAGCTCAATATTTAATCTGCAAAAACATTTATCCCTGCTTTTGTGTGACAGGTAATTGACAGTCGGAAAATTATTCATGTTTACAGTACATGCATTTTTTAGTTTCCCAAATATGAAATGTCTCCAGTCAGTCAATGGCATAAAACTCCTCAGATTGGTGGGGCACGTACTGGCGCCTTTGTGTGCGTCGATGCTTGTGAACTCGATGGTCCCGTCGTGACACCTCTTGGGGTCTGGCTTGTACTCTTTGGGGACGCCCTCGGGACAGTACCTGTACGCCAGCCCGTAATCCACCAAGTAAACCTGACGTAAACCAAAAGGTCACAATCAGCCACTCACACAAGAATACTGTATATATTTTTCAGTAAAAAAAAAAAAAACACCATGTTATCAGCAAAAACACAAAATAATCTTTCCAATCATGTAAATATCATAACCTCTGAAAAGTTATTTAAAAGAATGTTCTGTGATCATTTATGATTTTACTTGATTTTTATGTTTCCTCTCTCTGTGAATTGGGCTATACAAATAACCTTGCCTGTCTTATCTCCCATGAGTTATACAATGTAGCTGTAGCTGTGTATATGACAAAACACAGAATGAGAAACATTTGTAGCATTAGCTCACCACAAGACTTTTGACACAGAAATAATAAAGCTTTCTTTTTTAATGATACAGTAGAAAGATTAAACAAAAATTGGATTTCCAACAAGAGAAGCATAGCCATGAAAGCCTTGCTAAATTTAAATCCCATGAGGCCAGTTTTAAATTGTCATTTATAAATAGCTCTTTAATAACAGCGCCAATGATACATTATTAATCTTCAGATTAAATATTTGCCCCTGCCCCCCCTCCTTGTTTTCAACTAAAAGCTCTTTGCTGCTGCCATCTAATCTAGCCCTGTTTGGAGCGCACTCACACAGCCTCCCTTCCTCTCCAGGCCTTAATTGAATTTAATGAAAGAACACTGGTGTTATGATAAAGAAGCCTGGTCAGCCAAGATTACATGCTTTACAAAGATATCAGGAACTCTGTCCAGCCTTCACAGTCTATTGATGGGTAATTTGCACTAAGCAAAACAAACATGAATACAATCTACTGTTGGAGTAAGATCCAGTTTTCAGGCTGTAAATGAGTGTTACAGTAATTATCCAGCATATGAATCACTGACCTGGTTTGGATCACTGTGGCTCAGCATCAGATTTGAAGCCTTAATGTCGGCATGCACATATTCATGCGCGTGAATGTACTCTAAAGTATCCAGCTAATTGTGAAGAAAAAAAAACAAAGTTAAATGGCCTGTTACAGATACTGTAGGAGTTAAAAATATCTCACCAGTCGAAGGCCAAGCTGCAAGACAAGTTTCCTGGGAAACCGCTTTCCGCATTCCTCAAACTTCTTCTGAAGATCTGTGCCAAGTCGGTCTATCACCATGAATCTGTACCTGCACCACAGACGGAAAGGCCACAATTAAGATTAGATGTAATAAGTTGATAATTATATAAAATTATACAAAGAAACTCATCAGACATCCCCATGTGCTAATTGTAACATTAGCAGATTTTTTCAATCTGCACACAAGCAGCTCTGCTTGTGTGCAAGTCTTTCCATGGTCTTGTGCACAAGGAGCACCGAGACTGGCCGCCTCCTGGTTCCCCGAGTCGGGACTAAACATGGGGAGCCAGCTTTTTCAAATCCATGCAGCTAAAATCTGGATCCGTCTTCCTAAAAATGAGAGACGGGCTCTGACAATGTTCAAATCCAGGTTAAAACAGTTCAGTTTAACTGTGCATACAGCTGAAGTATTGTATCTTCACTATTTTTAATGTACTATGATTAAAATGTTAATGCCTTGTATGAATTTTTTATTGTATAGCACAGCTCAAACACAAGGCAACTCAAAGTTTTATCCATCCATTTTCTTCCCGTTAATCTATTTCTGGGTTGGGCTGCACCCAGTCCACAGAGCACCAGCCCCTCACTGATCCTCCTGCAGGTGGTGAGTCCACAGGAGCCATGATCTTCCAAGTGTCTTGCCAAAGGACACAACGACAGCAGACATCAGTGGGAGTTGTGAAGCAGGTCTTGTGGTGAGCTGGACCCCACAACCTTCAGGCCGAAAGACCAATGCTCTACCAACTGAGCCTCTGTCGCTCAAAGTTTTAAATTCACTAAAACTCAACTAAAAATGTCACTTCCTTTGTTTGCTTGTTAATTAATGTGTGTTGTTCCAATCATATGCAAGTAGTGCCCAAAATGTAAATGTGCCAGATTGAAGAAAAACTCCTAATTTACAAATGTAATACAGCAGTTAGGAAGTTTTGCTTACTTCCTCCCTCCTTTCTCATGAAGTCCTGAGCCCCAGTATTTAGGAACACCTAGACTCTTCAGCTTGTGCGATTTCATCCAACTCTGAACTGTGAAAAAAAACAAGAGCAGTTTTATCATTTATGTATTTACCTTGATATGAAAGCTACAGGATACATACAGCGAGTAGAATTCAATCTCTCACTCAAAATAAATAGAAGTAGTTTGCATCAAAGAAGAAGAAAAAGTGTTTCATGATTCAAAAGTTATATTGTGTTTTGTCATCAATATTTACTAATCTTTAGTCAGATAGCACTTTTTCACAGACAGAGTCACAGCGCGCTTGTTAGTAAATGCCCACAGAATTGTTGCGGGCGTTTCAATTCAATCGGAGAGCGGAGGGATCTCCTTGAGGCCCTATATGAAAAGTAAGCGCCCTCAGTAGAAGACGTTTAAAGCAGCAATGCGCTCCGTGTCACAGCTATCACCTCTAAACACTTGAGTAACTTCCACGAACACAAGGCTAACTAATGTTGGAGGTGGAGTGTGAGGCGCTCAAAGTAATAAGAGTATTATTCCGTTGAGGGGAGTCGGGCAGGGCGGCCGCCAGCTAATCTGCTGCTGGGACAAATATTTACCAACAACGTGAGAATCCACCATGAATAAAATATGAGCGCTTGGTTCCTTAGTAATATAACAGTTAATTGTCAGGGGAGATTGACATTTGGATTGTTATTATATAAAATGCAAAGCTGCGGCCTGGGGGCAACAGAGCAGCCACCGACAGCCTCCACTCCTCTGCAGGTCCCTTCTGTGCTGCGGCTACAAGATTGTCTTTTTTAATTAAGAAAGTTGGGTTTCTTTTATTTGTTTGCCCTGGTGATTGGAGAGACGCTGGTGTTATGATCACAGGGCTAACTTTGGCTTAGAGATGTACACTATACTTGTGTTCTGTGCGGCGACAAACAATAGTGAAGTGGCTTACTCAGCTCGGGCTTAGCTGCTCTCATGTAGAACTTGAGCTCGGAAAATAGGGGGCCACTTTCACTGGGCTCCTGAGAAGAAAAGCAGGGATATTAAAAACACACAATATATACTGGATATGTACCATGGAAAACCAAGTGTTAAGAGTGGGGCTGCAACTAACGATTATTTTGATTATCCATTATTATCCATTTTGCGATTAGTCCTTCAATAAATCGATTAGTTGTTTATTTGAATACATATTTCCAGATACAATTAAATTACATGCTTTTCTCATAATTTTTTTTGTAATTACTGCTTTTTGAGTCTTAAAACCACATGTCACAGCGCTTGCATTTGTCTAACTAGAGCAGTTAACAATTAATCAATTACTAAAATAGTTGCAGATTAATGATACATTGTTATTTAAATTTGTTCTTGATACTTGATAAGAAACTACAGCTCTAGTTAATAGCATAACATTGAATAACCCACAATGTGTATAAAACAGTAGTAGCAGAATTTAATATACAACTGCTAATACAACAATAACGCAAATAGTTTAGCTTCTTACAAAAGGAGCTATAACATTTTATTAAATACATATTGATGCCGCATGTGAAGAAAAGAACTGAAAGAAAGCAAATACAAACTCACCACTTTGATGACGTAGCGGGCATCTGAACCAACAGGTTTTGCAGAGTTTTCATCAGCTACAAAACAAACAATATCTTATTATCAATGGCAATAACCAATTACGGACTCTTGTCAGATTTGTGACTATTGGAAATACCATTTAAAAAAGACTATGTAAGGATTGATATAGGAATAGGCTTAATATATGTATAATAAAAATAATACATTGGTTTTATATTGCACTTTTTGGACACTGAAAGACACTTCCCCGTGCCATCAACAGAATCTGGCACCATCGTTATACTTCAAAGCGGAATGTTTTAGACTTTTGATATGTGTAAATAATTCAAGTACAGAAAATGTTTGAATATTGTTGACATTTTTAAGTGAATAAAATATTGATAAAATTATATTTATCACATACATTGTTGATCATGCAGCACTTGTGTTGCTCATTTATCAATTCCATATGAATTGAATTAAGGCACGCATTTTCATATGATCCTTTCTAGTTACACATATATCTAGTTACAAAAACAAAATTATGTATTGCACTTTTTTTTTGTACCTAGATAGATCAGTCCAAATCCCCCTTGTCCAACTGGTGACCCGAGTTTCCAGGCTTTCTTCCCTGTGTCAGTGAGCACTTCTCCAGGGGGAAACTCTTCTGCCAGCTTCCTCTTCGCTGGAGCTCTGGCTTTTCCACCTGCTGCAGCTTTGGCTTTGGGTGGCATCTAAAAACAACACTGATCATTAAAACGTTTCTATTCACAAATGAGACAAGAGATTAAAAAGTAAAATATTGTGAACACATCAGACCACGACATGTGCCCACTATCCTATCAGACAATATGTCATCTTTTGCAAGAAAGAGCCTTGTGCGTCACTATTTGATGCTTTGTGAAGAGTGATTTGTACTGAGTGAGGGTGGTCCTCTCTTTGATCTGAACTACAGATGTGACAGAGGGAAAAAGGGAATACATTTTAATCTTTGACCAGACTGTTTTGAGAGCAGGTTTATAACAAGTTGCAATGTGGTTTGAAAGTTAAGTACCCCAGCTTTTTAAATATTTCACGTGTATGTTATTAGCGTTACAAGCCTGCTTCAGTGTTGATAATGGCTGCAGTGGAGAACTTCTGAACTCATTGTAAACAAACTGCGTAGTTCATTTCGACAGCATTGCTAGCATCGCGTTTGTAAACACTTATAACATATCCCCGGACAGCAAATGAGAGAAGACACTTGGAAATCATCATTACACGTACAATAGTTCCTTTACAGCACTTTTATCAGGGATGTTCACAGCTAGCAGTTGTAGCAAGCGCTAGCATCATTTTCGAGTCCGGATCCCAGCACTTCCGCATCAAGCTAGCATCTTGCCAGCCCAATAACCACAAACACACACAGGGCATGCATTGAATTTATGGAGATTTATGGATATAATGGACACGTACCTTGTGATTGTTGTTCAAAGAGATTTGTCCCTGTTTTATTAAACGAACCGACACCAAACTTCCCGCAAAACCAAAACACCGGAAGTGGCGTCACGTGTTTTATGCTTCGCCATTGGTTACTTCACTCAAAGAGAAAATAGTGTAAATCTTCTCATTATTATTTTCTCCCCCGTGCTTCACATCCCGTTAATGAAGTGTGTTTAAATCATAGAGCATTTACATGTGTTTGTATAATGGAGATCTATTGTAGAGATAGCAGGTAAGGCGAGTCCTATCATTTCACTAAAACATGACGAAAATGTGTATACTTCAGATTTTAAGAAATTTAAGATAAACTAGACTTTATTGATCTCACAATGGAGACACTTACATGTCACAATTGGCATATATAGGATACTCAGCATGTGCAAAAAGACAGGAAATGTGCAAACAGGGAATGGGAAAACAGTTAAAAAGTAAAAAGAATAAGATAGTCTCTTTTGTGCAAGATGTATTATGCACCAAAGCAGCATCAAATTAAAAGTGACCAGAGCGGTGCGAGTTTACAGTCCTAGTGCAGGTCATTAAAGTAGCAATATGTAAGACTTCATGTCAAGTCATCATTAAATGTCCCTAATATGTCAAAAGGTATAATATGCTTTTCAAATTTTTCTATAACTGATAACAGTAGTTCAGCTGAGATATTTGAGTTTCAAAATGACTTTTTTAGCCCCTAAATCTTGTTATTGCTTTCATATCGATGTCACGTCCTCCACCGTTTTACCCCTTGTTGAGCTAATCTTACTGTAAAGTAACAAAAGGCTACAGAACTAAATAAGTCTTGCTTTGAGTCTCAAATCATCAACAACAAAACAAGGAATAAAACAAGGATTTCTATCGGGCATGTCTTTGTGAAAAAAGGTGTTTGTTTTGTTATACATGTGTTGTTGACAAAACTCTTGTCTATTCAGATATTATTATTTTTGTCCCAGATGGATTCGTCTGCATATCTGGCAACCTGAGTCAGGGAGAGTGGGAGAGGTTGCAGTACCACTTTTGGCCAGACCTTTACATTCTGCTCCTTTAAGTGACTTATTCTGACAGCGGTGGGGATGAATGCCCTCCGGTAGTGCTCCTTCTTGCACTGAGGGCGTCTCAGTCTTCCACTGAAGGAGCTCCTCAGCTGCTCAACAGTTCTTTTACTCCTTTTACTCAACATCTTCCCTAGTCTTTAAGATTTTGTAAAGTTTAAAATGTTTCTTCTTTGTTCGACATCAGGTATCAGTGACATAGGTAGAAAACACCATAGCAACCACTGAGGAAAAAAGGCCAGCGCTTGTCCAATTTGCACAAGAAAATTATTGTATAATTATAAACATGAGACAACACCTCATATATTCCGAGTGTTAAACCTTGAGCACCACTTTCAAACCACAAGAAATGGAACTGTCATCTAACTATCCTCACTCTCAAAGCACTTTGGGTCTATCAATAGTTTTCACACAGGTTTTTTTTTTGGCTTTAGATCAGCTTTTTTAGACGGACGTAAAGTGAAAGAGAGGACCTCCCTCCCTAAGTCTTTGTCTCTCAGCCCAAAATGTCAAATAGTGAATCAGAGTATTTCATTTATCACTTTTTATCACTACAGCCTTTACTGTCCCTTGACTAATGTTTATTTGAGTTTTTTGCCTCATCAAGTCATCACTGTGCAAGAATATTTATCCGCCTTTTTGAAGTATTATTATTATACATTACAATAAACCTGTTAGCCCACGTTCTAGATGCTGTGAGGAAAATTAAACGACTTTGTTCATGTCCCTAACTCGTTTGTTGTGATATTATTTTAACTAATGCTTAGCTGATTGTCATAATAGTGCTAGTGGTACAAATTAGCAAGGCCCTAGTTCCCATTGAGAATCCACAGTGGAATACCTTGCATTTGTTTAGTAACCCTCCTCTTCTGGCTCCTGGAACAGACAGCGCCCCTGTGACATTTCTCATGTTGCTCTTTATTCCGTGGTTGATACGCTCTGCAGTAAATACACAGGGTCTCGTCTTTGTTAATAATTTAATTTAATAAGTTTTAAGAGCCATTTTGTTCCCATATCTTTTTGTTGACTTGCCCTTCATGCTTTGAGAGTTTGTGATAAATATGGCTGTAGCCTCCAGTTATTCTCTTTGACACATCAAGTGCAAAAAAGAGGAAAATATGGAGTTAATTAGCAAACACTCAAGGTACAAGTTTCAACTGTGACCCCGGCCATTTATTACTCATGAGGCAACATGCAGCCCCTATTGTTCTTAACTTAAATTAAGAAATATTTGCGCATATACATGCTTCATTTTTACAGACATTATGCCTTTATGCAGATATTACAAATTAGATAGATAGATAGATACAGTATATACTTTATTGATCCCAAAAGAAATTGTGCACTGGTCCCCTTGCTCGCAATCATACAAAGATACATACATAGGTTAGAATTAAAAGATGCAAAATAGTTAAATAGTTCATTAACTATTTACAAATAGTTACAAATGCCTTTGTACAGTTCTGCAGGCTTTCTTAATCTGGTGTAGCTACCTCTACAATCCACTAACAAGAACTATCTCATTGTTCCTAGATCTTAAATAGGGGTGTGCAATCACACTATCAGAAGGAAATAGCCCAAGAACTATATAATTCACAGAATATGTAAATTGTAAAGGCAAAAACCATCCCTCAAAATGTATGCGGGTATTACAACAAACTGTATTATATCGGCCATCTCGAATACAAAAGATAACATGTTTTTTGATAAGCATGATGTGATGTGATTGGTTCACAAAAAACTTTACCTTTAGAAGAATTTCTATTGGGAAAAACAAAATGTGTCATTCGTGAAACAAAAGTTAAAATGCCTTGGTCAATCCAACTTAATCATTACTACTGTTTATGATTAAATCCATATTGTTACTTGTAATGGTTTCATAATATTTAGAGACAACATTTTAATTGTAGAGCTACAAGTTTGGGAATCATGTATTGTTCATGGTTTTTAAAAGTTTTTTATTTTCTTTACATTGTTATAAAAGTTGTATTGCATTTGAAAACTCACTGAAATGCAGCCTGTTTAAAATGACCAGTTTTATCCATGCTTATCACAAGAAAGTAAGCCTATAACTTAGCATACCTCTACAAATGAAATGTATACTTGATATTTTTGCCTATCTGCTATTGAATGGTGGCAGCCAGGTATGTAAATGCACAAAGCCTTTTCACAACGTGCCATTTGAAACCGACATACACAGTTTCACTTGCAACCTGATGCACAACTCATGAATAAGATATTGTTTCTTTAGAGTCACCTCTTTTCCTAGTATCACACTTACCGTCCACCATATCCGACTGTTTATTTATCAGCCTCTTCACATAAGGATTACTAAAACAACTGCTGCCATGACGCCACTCTCAATCCCATCTTGACACAAAAGTGCTTTGAGGGAACCTAACCCCATTGAATTCTTACAGCTTTGAGTTTGTTTTTTTATCGGAGGAACAAGGAATGACCAGGCTTGATGGCAAAGAGAGTGAGGAGCAGACGGACGAAGCGACAGAAGAAAAAAATGAGACTGAAAAGAAGAAAAGTAAAGCGGAGAAGCATGTGTCTTTCCCTCCCGACGAGCAGATTGTGTCGGGGTTTGCTGAGTTCCAAAACAGAAATGGTGAGAGGATAATCTGATAAATGAGTGTGCCATTAATTGTGTGTTTTATTTGTCCCTTTTTTTAAGGAGGCAGACATTTTACAAGAAATCTAAACCATTCTATGGAGTAAACAGGGTCTTACCACCGACTGTTTGTGAAGGGGAAATGCAAATTTGATCTCACAGACAGCATCATAACCTTCGGCCGCTCTGTAGTGCAATAATTAGTTGTATGATGGCAACCTAAAGTGGTTTATAACGTTTGGAGGACGTTCAATGTCATAATTGAAAGACTGCATCATTATTAATTTAATATGGAACAGGTAGAATGATAATCTGTTTATATTGTGATTTTCTGGACACTCAACACTTCACATGGCATTATTCATTCACTCTATACAAGTTGGTGGTAAACTATACTTCTGTAGCCACAGCTGCTCTGGGGCAGACTGACAAAAGTGAGGCTGCCAAAGTGATCAGTGCATTGGACCACAATCTATCCATATACTCAATCTCTCACACCAGATGCATACCATGACTGTCTGGCCAGAATATACAGTCTAAACATCCCAATGGTCTCCCATCACAGTGCTAGCTAGGCCCTGCCCTGCTTAGCTTCTGAATCCTGACAGGGTGAACTTTTTACATGCAAGTAATCTCAGAATGAGTCTTCAAACAGTGAATATCAAACCGAATTGTAGCCACATGAACATAATACAAGACTGGGCGCTATACACTTTATTGCACACTTTTAACATATTAGACAATGCTTGGCCCTTTGTCATAAAAACAAAACTGTTTACATCAGGCCTAATTTCCTGGAAGTGGACAAGATCCTGTTTACTTCTCCAGTAAAGTTATACCCTGTAAAATCTCTCGTACATGGACCTCAGATCTACGCTTGTTCAGTGCTTTTGCCACTAGAGGGCTCAAACCAAGCACAGCACAATGGACATCGGCAAACAACAACTGATGCAGCACATTTATTGGTGCTCTGGTTATCAATCAGTTCTATTGCAAAAGTTTGGCAGTTTTGTAATTGATTTAAATGCAAAACGTCTTTCGAAGGATATGTTATGATAAAGTATTTCCGTCTCCATAATCCTCGGTGGTGTCTCACATCTGGATTGTCCCATCCCATAAGGCAATGCTTGATAAATCGAGTTGTCTGATTGGTTGATTTATAGTCCAGACAGAGATCCATGTCCTTCTTTTCACTCCTCAATGACTGCCTCGTTCCCTGTTGTAGTCACAAACAGCCCGCAGACCCCCCAGCCCCCCTCTACACTAGCACAGTTTACCGTATGGCATTTCTGAGGCCCTTAAGCACTTTTGAATGGTTTGTGGTGCCTCGCCGGGATGTGAAGACATTAAATCGCTGAATGAGTGTATTGTTTTATTTCAGCTGACAGATGCCTCACCTTGACGGAGATAATGGCGGCCTACCAACAGAGCTGTAGCAAGCATCAAGTCCAGCCCAATGCCCGAGTGCTGGAACTACTGCAGGTAAATGGCAATACTGTTTTTTTTTATTACCAGTTCAGCATTCTGACACCTTATTTGAGACGTTTTAATCTCTATTTCATGGTCGTTTCATTCATAGTATGTGCGACCTTGTTGAATGCTGCATACTTTTCGATCGGCCTATTGTGACTTAGCCAAATGTATTGTGCTTATGCTTGGCTTTTAACACATTGAATGCTGAGCTGTTTTTGGGAGTTTTGGCAGAGTACCAGCAATCTGGATCATTGTTGACTGTTTTCGATGAGTATTTTATGTCATAGTTGTCATAGAATGTCTATTTTCATATATATTTTTAAAAAGAGATAAAACTTAATGTTATGTTTTTGGCTCTAATTGGTACTTAATGGTTTTAAGAAACTAGATCTACAGGTTTGATAAGTACTTATTTTTCAAGAAAGATCTTTTATCCATGTATTGATTGCATTCACTTCTCATTCACCCACTCAAGTAATCTTGTAATTCTTGTAGCTCATTATTGAGATTTCAAATGTTAAAAACATACAAAAATAATGCTTGTTTTTATATCATTTGTCATCACAATCTCAAACTTTTCATTCAGCCCTCCCAAATATATGAAATCCTCTTACACTTTCCCTCTGCTGAATAGACAAAAGGCAGTGGCATTTGCATGTTCTCCCTGTGTCTGCTTAGGTTCCCCTGCCACTAATAACAGGTGCAACAGCTCCCCTCTCTCTGGGGCCAGCACAGCCCTGAAAGAGAGATTCTGAAATCTCAGTGGGGTAAATAAGAATAAGCATATTGTAGTGTTTGTTATAAGAGTCAATTATCATGCTATTTGGCTTGATAATGATCGTGTTTTGTGTCAAAAACTTGTGACATGTTTTAATCATTTAGGGTATTCCATTGCTCTACCTAAACAAAACAACATCCCTTCGAAAAGCAATTTTGATGTATTTTCTAGTATACTTTTTCATCCCTTGCTGTACAAAACACAATACGTACTAGTGCAACGAACCATGCACTAACTTCTTATTGGGTTACGCTCATAACTCGCCGGTTTATCCCCAACAATACGCCACTTGATTGACAGAAAAGAAAACATGCTACACTTTTTAAAGCAATACTCCATTTAATCAGTGACAAGAGACCACAGGCTGCGATCACAACTCCAGAGGCTCCGCTGTGGCAAAATGAAATTACTCTAAAGCAAAGTGCATGTCGCCCTGTCCGCGTATGCAACATCAGCAACTGTGCGGAGAGAATAAGTGTGGCATGCAATGATGTTACCGCCGCCCAAAAAGGATCAATACTGAAACTAAAACCTGCAAAAGAAAAAGATATGAGACAATGTACAATATCACACTGTGGAAAAAGGAGTTGCTTGGTTCTATATACAGAAAAGTTTATATTATGAGACAATAAAGCAGTATAGGGCTGAAAGATACTGTTTCCTGGTTGAAGGGGGTCCTCTTAGCCTGGCCATAGCTATCCAGACACTCCGCTCAATCATCATTTCACTGCATGTAACGTCTGGGTCTGGTCCCTGTGTTAGCGAATACAATCGGTCGTATTTTGACCGGCTACTCAGAGAGCGCGTTGTAGGTCGGTGCCGGTGACGTCAAGAGTTTGCGCCGAACGGGCAGGATGTAGTTTGGCAGTGGTGAAGAATGCGATAGTAAAGTAATCCGGTCTGGTTCTATCAAGAAATTGAAGCAGGAGCAAGAGGAATGTTTAGCAAATGTAATCACTGGTCAAGATTGTGGCGCTACTCCCCACGGGCTCCGTTAGCTGCAAAGGAGATGGCTAGGCTAAATGCTAATGCTAACAACTCACTCGGGCGCATTACATACGTCACGGTAAACTCAGATCCCATCGTTTCAATCTGCAAAAGGAGTTAACCCTTCCCACCTGTTCACGGAGCTCAATGGAGCAAATCCAAACCTTAGTATGAAATGTAATTTGTACTAAGGTGTGGTACGATCAGGCTAGGGTCATCTATGTGCTTGGTCACTCTTCGTCAGAGGTCAGATATGGATATTTTTTTGGCTATTTTCATTTTTGAAAATCCATTAATTTCCAACCTTTTTGCCTATAGTGCGTTCTGGTGTTCTGTCAAAATGGTCTGCCCATAGATCGGGTCATTTTACTGATGTTTGCGCTATGTGGCTTACCTGGCAGCCGCTTTTCTGTTGTTTTATAATGGAAATAATAAATGAAATATCATGAATGGATCATACTCTATCTAACATGATTCACAATAGTGTGTTCAAACAAAATATTTTATTAGATCATCTTTTTATTAGATCTGATTTGTTTGTTTAAATTTTATTTAGAACCCAGCCAACAGTTCCTCTGACAATAGTATAACATGTGGTTTTACACTGCTTCATCATAGGGATTGTATACACTGTCACTAATAGAATCGTGGAGTCAACATTTGCATTTAGAAATAATCCTGTCCTCTGTTCCTATAAATATTTAACAAAAACACACAAAGCCTAACAACATTTGGTCTGTCGCTATAGTTTTTTCATGAATTTTTGGCCTCTGTCCCAATCTTTAGATCCGCTTTTTCAGACTGAAAAGTGAAAAAGAGAGGACCACCCTCACTTAGCCCCAAGCATCACATGACTCTTTATTAAGTACGCCAAAGATATTTTATTCTGTGACAAGGGTAGAAAAAAAGACCCTAAAAATAAATATCCACTGGATATGCAAAACACATTAAATGAATAAACCAGAGTGACCTAAAGGGCATGAGCAAAGGAAGGTTTCTCACCCATCATCTGTACTTCTTAGCAGGTTTTCCCTACGCTTCGTCCTTCATCTAAAGAACTTTTTTCAAGGGAAAAGTTTCAAGCTTCGTCGGGAAAACCTGCTAAGAAGTACAGATGATGGGTGAGAAACCTTCCTTTGCTTTGACTACTGTACGACTGAGAGCTTACACCAACTAAAGGGCATGACTTTTTTCACGCTATAAAACTAATTAAAATGTCACCTCCATTTTATGTTTACATCTATTAAATAGCTGTCATTGCCAATTAGACACGTACATACATCATTCACTAATAAGAAAGTGACGAGATCAAGAGGTCCAATTTTCTTCTGTCACTGTAATTTTCTTTATTCATTTGTCAAGTTTCTAGTTTTGATAATATGTCAAATGTTATTGGTGATTAAGAATAGTTACCAAATGACTTCAATTCTAGATTTCCTTCTCCTTTGCAATACACTAATCTCACGTTTATTCTCTTCTCTTAGGCCCACTTGAAATAGTCGCTTTGCATTTATAATTCATTTTATGTACATATACTGACTTTAGATGCTTGGAGTTGCATGGCGCTGCTCTCATACCCCCCCTGCATAAATTTGACTTAAGATCAAGGGGAATTATTTGTGGAAAATTAGCGACTTAGCAGTGCTTACATTCTGTATTATCTCTGAGGTGCTAATGAACCCAGATACATTCCAAAACGGATGTAGGTGGTCCTCCTGAAAGAGCAAAATATGTATGGTTAAGCATTAGCTAAAAGGGGCCATATTTAGACCAAAAAGGGCTGCTTTGAGAATGAATCCATAATAAGAGAGCAAAATGAAAAAGATGAACGCCTAAAGAGCAAGTTTATTAAATTAGGTCTTTATAGGCGAGAGGCGATCCCCGAGGACCAGAGCTCAAGACTATTCAAAGGCTTTTTATTGCACCCTTGGGCCCCTTTGCTCTGCTTTGAAATGTGGTACGTTGATAAAGCAATGTAGCTGTTAGTGGCTTCTTCACACGGCTGGTAAACAATTATTGGCTGGTGCCGGCGGGTTCAAGGCCGAGCTAAAAGAGCCACATATTTCAATATTGACGAGAGGAAGTGACCCTCTTTTTCAGGCTGAAAGAAAGTGGTAAAAGTGAAGAAATATGATGTAATTATCTGGGAAAAAAAGGGTTTCATTTCACATGTGCAATTAAAAGACTTGTTTAGAGGACCTTGTGCAGCTCGGGAATCAAATTTGGGACTGTTTTTCTTTTAGGCAAGTAATCTATTGTTGCCACTTTTTATGTTCTTTGTTTGGTTGAGATACTGACTGCTGCTAACGCTTTAAACATTTATGCTATTTCAGATGTTAAAGTTTTACCATTGAGGTCTGCCATAGCTGCTTGTATCTGATAACATGCCATTGCTTTGCCTGGAACGTTCTGCAGTGGCCTTTAACACATACATTATTTTCAATTAAAGCTGGGGTACCTAACTTTCAAAACACAACCAATGGAACGATGTAATATACAGTCAATCTCACTACTTCCTCGCGCTCAAAACAGTTCACGATGTCTAGTTTTCACATGCAAGTATTTTTTTGCCTTTGTCACATCTTCAGAGCAGCTTTTTCAGACAGCAACAGAGAGGACCACCCTCACTCAGCCAATCAGCTCCCAGCATCAACTAGTGACTCATAGGGCTCTTTCTTAAGGATAGCGTGTTTTCTAGTAAAATGAAGATAGCATGTTCACAACAATTTACAATGCAAACATTACAGACTAAGCATATTACACATCTCTTATCATAGCAAAACAGTTAGCTTAAAAACATAACATTATAATTTAACTTATATAATTCCACTGTCACTTTACAAGACTGTTGGCGTTAAAAGTTGGATAGCCCAGCTTTAAATGTGTGTTTTGGTTGGAAATACCATCATAAATTGAATAGACTTTGTCAATTTCAACTCAAATCAATACATTTTTGCCCTAAATCCCATTAGTAGTTATCACAGAGAACTTTTACAAAACCATCAATTTGCCAACACAGATCAGAGAATCAAACACTTCAAACACAAGAAATGCAATAATGAAAAATACATAGAACCCTTGGTCCATAAGGGGCAGATGACCAATGTCCATAAATGTTGATAAAGTCCATTAATGTCTTTGAGTGTCAAGTGTGTGTGTTTTAGTGTCTTGTTTGTAAAGAATGGGATTTTTCAGGCAATTCCTGTCAAAAGACCACTTGATATTGAAATGACAGCACTGCGGCTTCCTGAGACAAGTTTCAGAAAGTCTGTTGTATACACTTTTAATCTGTATGTGCAAGAATAAATGAATAATCACAAAAGATGGAAGAAAATTATTTACTTCCAAAATGTTTACTTACCTGTTTTGCCTCTCAGCGAAACATCCATCCTGGAGATTATTTAAGCACATTGTTGAATACATAACACTGGATTTGATGATTTCCAAGTCATTTATATTGTTTTCCACAGACAAACATGAATCTTATGAATATGTTTTTAAGGACATAGAAGTTACGCATTTATACCAAACTCAAAAGAATTGTAAATGAAGCGTGCTGCTGCGACGGTGGCTTGTATTGGCTGTGCGGTGGTTGGGAGAATAAGCTCAGAATTACTTGCATGTTGGCAAATCTTCTAATGAACAGCTTAGAGCTTGTTTTCCTTGCAGATTATCCAGTTGAGTGGACTGAAGAGAAATCAATTACCACAACTTAACTTTCATTATTTATCCTACAGCTGAAGGGAGAAGGAGGGGCACCAAAATCCTGACTTGACAGCACTTCACCGCAAAAGTCAAAACTTGAATTCAGAATCATACAATACATGCGGATTTGGTATGAAAGTCTGTCCATGGAATTAGAACGATTACTTGTAACAATTTAAAAATATATCTTTTGGAGAGGATTGGAGCACTTGCCTGAGTGGTTAGCAGAAGGTCCCGGGTTCGAATATTGTTGGAACAAGGTATTCCTAGTGTGGAGTTTACAGGTTTTCCCAGTGTCTTTGCAGGTTTCCTCCAGGTGTTCTGGATTCCCCTCCCTATGTAGCCAAAATCCACCAGCTATGGTCATGACCAAGCTGAGTATCAACATCTGGAGCAACCACTGCTGTCTATTACTGACCACAAGTAACAATCCAAGCATGCGTGAAAAATCATTTTCACATTAGTTTGAGAAGTAAATAAACACATAAAAAAGTTTTCTTGCCAGTGGATCTGTGAAAAAGGCTGTAGTAGTTATTATTGTATTTTATAAATGATCTTAAAAGGTCTGAAAAGGATTTGAATTTGACTTGAAAAAAGCCGTTGGAACTCTGGTTGATATAAAAGTTCATGTTTTTTGGGTTTGTTTCATGAATAATACATGTTATTTATGGACATTTTTGGACATTTATCAACGTTCATGGACATGGCTCATCCCGCTTCCCACGGAGCAATGGCCTCAATGCGATTGTTGTTGCATTTCTCTTGTTGGTGAATTGATAACTTTATAAAGTCCACAAGACGACTGCGGTTGTGATTTAGAACTATACAATTGAATATTTCTATTTTATTTGATTTGAAAGTTACGGCAGATTTAGATACTAAAGTAAACGTGCATGTACATGCCCCAGCTAACAGAGCAGACACAGAAAGCTCACATTCATTCTTTTAAGTTTAGTTAATTTAGAATGACCTCTACAAGTATCTCCAATTATATAATGTAACAGATAGGATTTCTAATTGACAAATAGTGTTAAAAAAATGCATTTTGAGTACATTTGAAACATTATTGTCTGATATTTTGACATTGACGCTGCCATGGAAACAGTCTGAAACAAATCAAATACCTCTAACATAAAAAAAAAAGATATAATCCTATTAAGATTCAGTTTTTAACTCATCCATATTCATTGTTTTCATCATGGTAAATTCGAAGGGTCCGATTCAATTCTTTTCTCATTTTGCCGTCTTGATGCGCCGCATTTGGGGTGGTTCAAAGGAGAGGGGGGGAGACGGATGAGGCGCAAATCCCCCCAGAAATGAAAAAGACAAGAGAAAATCTGTTTTTTTGAGACCACCGCTGCTTCCTCAGCTTTTTTGATTAGCATTAATGTTGCTCTGTGGAAGTCTGCTATTGCCATGCGCGCTCACACACACACACACACACACACCAGCATACCCCAACTGCCTGCACTATTCTAAGGGGAAGATTTTTTTTGTTCTTTTAAATTAAATGCATGCTGATTGTTATTGCGGCTCCTTCTCGTCTGCGAGGTAAATGTCACTAAGTAAGTGGCTCACGACAGTATTAGCTTTTGCGGACGGTACGCATGCAAAAGAAAAGCAGACAGGGGGGAAAAAAGGGGTGAGGATGGGGGAGAGAGGGGCGTGAACAGCAGGGGGACGGGACATATGTCGCTCAAGTTATTATTACCGGCGAGGCTGCGATAACGGGCGCTTTGTGGAGGAGACAGAAGTAATGGCACAAAAAGAGCTGTGTCCCGATGGCTTCAGGAGCTAATTTTTGTGGAACGTTTTATTTTGGGCTGAAACAAGTGAGTCAATGAATCACAACAAGCTAATCACTGCGATCATTGAAACACTATGTAAGCCTAATCAAATAATAAGTATTCATTAATTGTCATATATTTTGTTTTCCCACTACTTACTGTGATGTCATCTTAATGTGCCATATGACAGACTAAGGCTGCATCCAAATTCAATAAAAGTTCCTCCTTCCTTCCTTATTCCTTTGAGACGGAGTAGCTACAGGGTATAGCCTTAATGATGTTTTCTATACAAATTAATTGGTCAACTTCGATGCCACAAAGAACCAGACAAATGTAAGGACAAGGATATTTCACTTTTTGGTGGATATGTGCAAAAGCTGTAACTTACTTTGTAAATGTATTCATTCATTTGTCCTGAAATGGTTAGATTCATACAACTATTATATTTCTACCTACTAGTATACACATACACATGCATAGATATGTTCAAACATATACAAGAGCAATATTTAACAGTTTCACCATGTGTAATATTATTATATGTGTGCTTACAGTGAGACACAACTTTTTTTATCTTTTCATTTTCTCTCAGCAGCTGTTTATCATTTGACTGATGTGAAACAATCATATTACATATCTCCCACTGGGTTTTTGAATTGTTCCTTGCTGATGCATCAGGGTTTAAGGACAGCGGTGGTTATCCAGGACATTTTAGGACATTTATGGACATTAATTAACGTACCTTAAGAACCAATGGCTCCTATTTGTTTGAGTCTCTGATCTGTCTCTGAATCAACAACTTTGTAAAGCCCATAACGACTGTTGAGATTTAGGACAATACAATAATGATCTGAATTGAATATATACCAAAGTCCTTATTTTCATGCAAAAGTAACTATTACTTAGGAAAGCCATAGTCTAACATACACTAGCGATGCGATTTGCGTTCTTCAAAAACTCGTTTTACATCCTCTGGCTCTAATTGAAAGGGGAGCAGGCGCCGTTAA